TAGCCTTGGCAGCTATCATTGGCACAGTTATTTTCGTTCTAAAGCCGTTAAAATTTTCAAAATATCGGCCCAAGTAGAAAAAACCCATTTTACACTAAGCCATTTTATTGTATAAATGGGCTCCATAAACGCGCTTTTAATGGAATTTTCAAGGTGATAAACTCCCGAATTTGCCCATCCTTTCCTCCAGCAGTCCAGCTTTCTATTCCTTTTTCATTTTTTATACAAGAGAACTACTGAACACGCAAATGATATGTAGGCAACCTGTTCGATAAATTTCCCCAATGGAGAGAGACATTTGAAACTTGTTTCTCGAATTCTCATACAACAACCGAACATCAAATGTTATTCAGAAGATCCCTACCGTCAATTTGTAATAAATACTTCGGATTAACCGTAGAGATAAAAAATTACGCCTGCGCGTTCTACTCTACTGGTTCAGATTTTGTCGAGCTCCCAAAAAAGCTCAAAAGGTCCGAGAGGAAGCCATGGGTGACCGACATTAATGAACTCAAGCGCAGGTCGAGGTTGGAAAGGAGAGAGAAGATGCTGGCTCAAGAGGCAACGCTTAAGCCTCCGGAAAATGGGTTATTGGTTAAGGAATTAATCCCAGTTGCCCGTGATGTTATGGCTGCGAGAGCTCGTTTGTTGTCTTGCGTGTCGAGGGTTTCGTGCAGCATCCCTATTTTCGCCTGCAGGTGACCGATAATTGTGTTTCGATTAGTTTTGTTGATATGGTAATGAGCTTTGATGAAAGATCGGTTTGTTTTTTTTTTAGTGAAAATGAGTTGTTTACTATATCAACTTGATATCTTGCAGCAGTCATAGTTTAAAAAAATGTACCTTGTGATTTAGTTGTTGCTTCACAAATAGAAGCTTGAACATGATTTGTGCCAGAGATTGTGACTGGTGAATAAGTTGTACAAGTGCAAGTGTTTTGCTTAGAAGTTAGCTTCTTGCTTCACTTCTTGATTCTGATTACTATATATATTTCCATAATTAAAACATGAATTTGGTGATCGTGTTGTGCTTCACTACCGTGTTTTTTTGTGTTATATATTCTATTGCATCGTAAATACGATAACAAGTTCACATTTAATTACACTTTTTATTTTGTGATTTTCTTTCGTATCGTGTTTCGAGTCGTGCCAATCGTGTTATTTGTGTTTTCTAATCGTGTCGTATTCGTGTACTGTCAAAAGCAAGCTCCCCTTACTGTGATCATTTGGATATATGGTGCAGTGTTTGTGGAGACGTGCATGTGGGTAATCCACCGCACAAGATCAGAACATGCAATGCCGATGGTAAGATCAAAGAGCACACATGGGAGAGAGGTGGGGCCCACCAAGTTTTCCCGAACGTCGAATCTTTTCATCTGTATGATAGATTGGGACGAGCCGTGTCCCACAACGAACGTCTGCAAGTGGACCGTATTCCGGCCATTGTCGAGCTCTGCATTCAGGCGGGTGTGGATATTCTAGAGTACCCAACAAGAAGGCGTGATTTCCCTGTTTATAAGGTGGCGGGTAAAATGCTCGATTTTGAGAAGAGGTTTCCGAAAAATGATTCGCCACGAAAGGACGTGAGAGAGTTTGCCTTTTGGGAGATGGCTAAAAGGTCGACCGAGAGTCACAGGGCTTTCGATTCGCCATATGATGATGATGATCTCAAAGGTTTGTCCTTATGCACATCAATATTTGTTGGTTCATGTTCTTGTAAGTATTAGTTTATTGTGCTTCGTGTTGTTAAATTAAACGATACTGGCTCATTTAAAGTTTGTTTGGTTAACGAGCCGAGTTCGGCTCGATAAGGCTAGAAAAAAGAAGTTTTATATAGTTTTCTATAGTTTGACTCATCAATGTTCGAGATCGGCTTGTTAAGGCTCGAACTCGGCTCGTTATTAATGATAAACAAGCTGAGCTCGAGCTCGTTTATTTAACAAGCTCAGCTCGGCTTGGCTCCTTTTGGGCTCGGGGGCCTTGGTCAATTTATCTATCGTTCATTTATTTCATCTACTTTTTTCAAATCCTCAAGGAAAAATCTTTTCTTTAATGTTCTCTTAGTTTCGAATTTTGATAGGATGCTTACATATAAATATGATAACCTGTGAGGTTTTGGCGTACTCGCGAGTCGTGAAATTCCCCAATGTGTCTTTTCGAAATTTTAAAAGAGATGCCTACAGTAACAAACTCGCGCTCGAGGTTTGTAATTTCTAAACAAATGACTCAATCTTTGTTGATGAATCAGGTCATGCTCAGCTTGGAATGGAAGCACTCGAAAAAACGCGTGTTGGGGTTAACAGACTGATGCAGAAATACGCCGTGCAAACCTGCGGTTTTTGTTGTGAGGTGCAAGTGGGGCCCAAGGGGCACCGAGTTAGACAGTGCCAGGCGTTCAAACACCAGATGAGAGATGGGCAGCACGCGTGGCAGGAAGCGACTTTTGAGGACCTTGTTCACCCGGTCTACGTGTGGCATGTCGCGGACAAAAATAACCCACTACTCGTGCACGATTTGAAGAGGTATTACGGAATGTTGCCTGCTTTGGTTGAGCTTTTCGCGCGGGCCGGTGCCGAAATTGGTGAAAACTATCGAGGGTTGATGAGGGAAGATGTCGTCGTGCCCACATTGGAAGAGGCAAAGTTTGTAGTTTGAAATGTGAATTTCTTTAGTTGTATTCGTTTGAGATTCTTGGATTTGCTACGTGCGATGACTTTTTAAGACTTTTAAAAATTCTTAGGGATTCATTTGAGATTTCAAAAATGTCTTAATAAATTATGAGGTATATAACTTATTTAACGCTGAGAGTTACTAAGACATGCTAAGATTTCATAAATAAAATACTTATACCAAATCTCACTCCAAATTCCAGACTTAAATTTCCAATTATTAACACTTTTCTTTCCCTTTCAATTCCATTTTTTTACATGAGATTCTAAACAAACCCGTTGAATTTTATCATCTGATTGAACTCTGAATCTTTCACAACCATAGGTGTGTGTGCATGTGTGTGAGCGGGTGTGATCCAACGCTCGGGCCTAAGATGCATGTCGATCTAACGGCTTGAATTCTTCCATAACATCATAATCCAGAATTAGAAATGAAATAGAGCAGAAAATCTGAAACATCAGACAGCAAACATTTAAAATCTCTATTCCCACATAACTTCCATAAAGAACTAGAAATATTGAAATAAGTATCTTCATAATAAAACATTACATGATCATCAAATGAGCCATCAACAAAACAACATTTATCACCACTAAGAAGTTCATATAAAAGATACATAAGGAAACACAAATGACATGAATAATAATAAGACACAAGACAGACAAACAAACATTCAGGCTAANNNTAATCCAGCTCTCTCAAGTGTAGAGAGGCCAAACAAACAAACATTCAGGCTTCACCAGCATTCGTATGATCCCAAGACATAATTTTTGCTCAAAAAATCCAAAGTCCTACCCGTAGATCATCAAATTCCAGCACTCTCTCAAGTGTAGAGAGGCCAATCGGTCCAGGCCCCCGAAACATGGCCATTCTCACAAACGTAGGCCCGAACAGCAGGCTCTCCGTCATCATGAAACCCAAAATACCTCCTCAGACAAAACGAGGAATACAAATCCCACGTCTGGTTGGACGAGCAATATGCACAGTGCAAATCAATCTTGCTCCGGCTCCCATCGCTGATCGTCCTCCAAACCCTAGACTGCTTGAAGTCCTTGAAAATCCCCCTGAACAGCATATAATTCCTCTTCTCCTCGACATGAATGCAACCAGGCCAATCACAGATGTACAAGCAATCGCCTTTGAATCGGCTGGCAAGCAGCTTGTTGCCCTGCTCGCGGCTCAGATTCCAAATCCCGGAGGCCAAATGTGACCTGAGAGGTCTGCAAGTCTTCCTCTTCTTACAGGCGGAGAATTCGGGATTTTCATCTCCGATTTCCCCATCATCGGGATTGATTTCGGGCTTTCCGTCAGCTCGTTCCAAAGCTTCGGAATCGGCGTGCAGGGTTTCGAACAGCAAATCGTCATAAAAGGACCATACGGCCTCCGGCTGCTCGCCGTCGTTATGGCTCGAAGACGGAGCATCTTTGGGCTCAATCGGCGGGAACAGTTTTTGATCGAGGTAATCCTCATCGGGCCCGAGGTCGCGCTGGAGCCCGAAATCCGAGTTCTCCAGGAGAACGCCGGAGTTGAGGAGGCCGGGGCAGCAGACGGAGAGCTTGTACAGTGACGCCCATACGTCGGGCGGCGGCGGCTCCGCCGGGGAGAGCAGATCGGAGACGACGGCGGGGATCGACCGCGAGCATTTGGCCTTGCAGCAGATGGTTCGGATAAGGGAGGAGAATTTGGTGGAGACGCAGGCAGCCCGGGCCCAGCTCCGCGGATCGTCGTCGAGCTTGTGGAGAATGTTGAGTACGACATCGTCCGATAGCTTTGAGAAAACGCTTTCAGGCATTTCTCTGCGAGAGGAGATTTTCGTGGTGGGTGAATTTGGGAATTTAGGGTGGCGATTTTATAATTTCCTATTTTCAGGCATGGTATGTTTTGTAGTTTCGATGATTTCGAGGGTTGAGATTGCAAGTTTGTGAAAAGTAGAGTATGCTGAAAATTGCAAATCTGTACTTTATATT